AAGTGTACTTGGACCACAGAACATATTTGAAGGTATTTCAACTGACGGCATTTTTGCCAAAATACAGTCTCCTTTCAATTAGGACAAATCTGAAGGACACTTCATTCACACAGCAGCGCAAAGTGACACAAATCTGATTTTGTATTTTTTTGTTTGAGTTTTTACGGCACAAGTGGCTCTTTTTTTTTTTTTTTTTTTTCCAACAGTGGGCTGACAGGAAAGGGTTATGAGAGAGAGAAATGTCAATGAAAGAATAGGATTTCACCAAAAAAAAAATTGAATTGAGCATTAAGGCCTGCAGTGTGAATGTAGTCATGGTCTCAGACTCAACTAAAAGACAACATTCAATGCAGAAAGTAATGGCAAACTGATGCCTCATCAAAGCAAGTCATTAAAGATTATGTGAAAATGTTTAAAATAATACTTTAATAGACAGGAGGTGACATTTAGATTAAACTACATATAAATGTATAAAGAGCTTCAAGAATAGCCTTTAGGATACTTTTGTCTTTCTGCCATAGGTGGTCATTAGTTATCTATAATTGGAGCAAAGATGTGGTTGCTGTGTAAGAGAAGCAGAGCTCCGTTTGCTTTCTGCCTGGAGAGAGGGAAGGCCGTTTCGACCCGACCCGTTTTGTTCAGCCTTATATGCTTCTGGACAAAGCTGGATTTGTATGCAACTTTACAGAAACACAATTCGGGTAAAAGGTTTGTATTTTCTTTGGCAGGGCAGAGAGGTATAAAGGGTAGACTTGGCTAGCATGTGATTTAATTTATTTGTTCATGCTTTGATGTGTTTCTGTGTGTGGGAGGATGAGCACAGTATCATAGTAGGTCAGGGGATTGTTTGTCTGATCCATTGAGGGGTGATTAGTGCCGACACGCTGAGCGAGGCTTCCTCCTACTCGGAGAGGGGGAGCATTGCCACTCCCAGACTCACTGGTCGGGCTCTCCGCCAACCCCCCACCTGAACGGCGCCTATGACCAGACTACAGAGAGAACAGTCTAGTTTATGTGGCTTTTCTTCTTTCCTTATGTTTTCTGTATTAAACATAATTAGTCTCTTGATTTTTATGTTCACTTATTTTCATTATAGGACCAATGGATTAATTACCCTTGGTCATTTTAGGACATAAATATCAAAGCAGGAACTTATGAGGACTGACCGAAACAGTAGCTGATATTTCATCATGTCTCTATTGTCATGTTCCTGCCCACTTTGCGCAGTGGGGTGTACAGTCCTGGCCTGCGCCTGGGGTGCGATTTAGAAGAGAGGTGACAGGTCAGGGAGGGATGGGGTGTGGGTGGGGGAGGTGTTTTGCCTTCTTTGCTAATCCCTGCATTTAGTTTCTATTCCAAGATACTTTGTAATCTACCGCTAATGGGATTTCCCAACCTGTTTTTTTTTTTTTTTTTTTTTTTTTTTTTTAGACAGCTAAATGATAAAAGACTGGATTAATGCATTCAATCAGTGATGGATGAACCCTCCATCTGTAGGGATATTGGGCAAATCACATTTATTAGTGGATGGCAGCAGTTAGTTTTTCCTTTTATTATTAAAAAAAATATAGTTTTGTGTAGAATGGTATTGGTTTTATTTATTTTTTTGCCTGCCTTATGTTTGTTTTGAAATAATCCGAATTTAATTTTTTTTTAACAGATTGATAAGCTTTACTTTCACCCCGTCAGAAAGAACAGGAAATAAATAGTATTATATTTTCAGATCCTATAAACTTAAAGCAGCAGTCCCACCAACAGGGACACTTTAATGAAACTACTGTCTCTTACATTTAAGTGGACATTTACATTACATGTTATCTGGTTTTAATTGTAAGTCCTGCTTTTGGCTCTATATTTATTCTTTTATCGGGGAACAGGATCTACAAAGAAGTATGGGAAATATAAAGTTCCCCCCCTCCCCTTTTAGTTTGTTTTGTATGTTTGTGCAGGCTACTTTTCCCTTAAGTTGAAATTTCTTATATTGAGGGCAGTGATGACACAAACTCCTTGTGAATTCCCAGTGATATTTCAGCTCATGCTATATGGTACGTTACTCTGATGGTATAATAACCAGCAAAAACGCTCTGACAGATGTGCTATCAGCTATATTGCTTACTCTGGCTGCCGCTGTCCAAGCTATGCAGCAAAACCTTCATTTTTCAAGACATTGCCGTCTGGTCTTCTTGCGAAAGCCGAAATATTAATATATAGCTGTTTTTAATGTGTTTCATAGCGCAGCCACAGCGGCGTGAGCGTTACGCCCTCATTGAAAGGACCAAAGATGGCGGAAAAGGGAAGCATGCTCACTTAACATTCCATAACAGTCTCTGCAAGAATAATGTCTGACAAGGTGTCCATTATGAGAAATTAAAGGAGGACAAAGGGGCATAAACTGTCCTCCTCTTTGCAAACACCTAGAAGGGCATCATCCCACTTAAATTAATTATTAATTGCTTGTCAGCAACTGACCAATCAGCAATCCTGATTTGTCGTGAAATGAAAAGGCCCTCTACTACAGAAGCCATGGGAATTTTGTTAAAAATATGCATCCAGTAAAAGAAAATGATTTTTAGCAGGGAAAATTCAATGTAGACATGATTACCTTCACATATTTAAGGGAAGGAAAACTGTTTCTGATATTCCCTAAACTGAAAAATGGAGTATTAAAAATGTAATAATTAAATAGGTCTGCCGTGATTAGATGAGCAGGATTTTAATCAGCAGCAGCTACCAGTTGTTCATCTCAATGAAGGGGAAAAAAATTGTTGTCTTTATTTTGTCATAATCACTGGTTTCTTTTGTTTAGCTCAAACGGTTTGCATTGCTTAATTAATTCACTATACTGGCATTAAAACTTTACAGTTCGTTGGCGATTAGCTTATACTTAGCTAAAACTTCCATGTAAGCGGAGCAATGTTGGTTTTTGCCTCTTCATTTTCAGAGGGAGCCATTGACTATTTCGGACTACCAGACTGTTTGATCCTATAACACCCTGCAGCCAATTAGAATCGCGTATTCACCCAAACCATGGTTTGATTGTGTATAATTTAATAATGTTGTCAGTGTTTTCATTGTGTTCAGTGCTGGGTGCCATTTGGTGACAACCTTTGTCATTTTCTGGTGTTCTCTCTTCATGTTGCAGCATTAGTTCTTAATAAAGAAATCCTGAATCATCCACAGCAGAGTGAGGGTGGACATATTTATCAGACCCATCCTAAGTCATGACTTGGGTCCCTACTGACTGGCGCTGTTTACAGTTGCAGGCTGTGGTCGTCCTTTCCTGTCTGTCTGAGATTAACCTAATTGTTTTCTAAGATCAGTCTGCATATCATCATTTCTCCTCTAGCATGTATGCAGTTTTATGCACAGCCTAGTTAAGTAAGGACTAGACTAAAGTTAAAAGCTGTCATTTTTTTATACCGAGGCATGTTTCCGAGATGAGGGAGTCCTGTTGCCAATGACAACTGGTTCACTTCACTCAAACCATCTAGAGGAACTAATTTCTTACCAGAATAACGTTGATGCCATTATATCCTGTAAGTCTAGGCCTGGATGCTGCTTTCAACTTCTTTATAGGTTATAGCTGCTGGCCTTTTAAGAAACTTAAAGATCCATTCATGTTCAGAGCTAAAAAGAAGGGAGAACCTTTTTCAATGCAAACTATTAAAGGTATAGGGAATAATCTTTTTTCTAGTTGGATCATCTAAATAAATGGTCCTCCAAATTGTCAATTATTCTGTTGATATGTTTATGTAAGGCCGTCTACGTGCTCATCCCATTAGCTATATTTTCTGCGCATGAGCACTTTCAGGTGTATAACTGTGGTGAGCTACGCTTTCAGATAGTCATTGAAGCTCACCTTTCTCACCGCGGTTCTTTGAAAATGGCCGAGGGTCGTAAGAGGAAAAAGTGTCTACGAAGTGTATGACGAAAAAAGAAAAGTCACAGAGAGGCAGATATATCCCGGAATGTTTTGCGAGGAGAGCTCTTCTTGCAAAGGATTATGGGATTTTATGTCACAGTGACCCGCTGTCGCCATAGCATAGATGGCGCAGGCACGGCGTGGCAGAGGAGTAGTTACATGCCCAACAGGGATTAATAAGTAGTGATAATCTGTGGTCAGTTAACTGAGTTCACTATAAAGTCCACATTATAGTCCTGGCTCTATATAGTGGTTGAGGGATTTAGGGGTTAGAGCAGATGTTCAGACACAGTCAGCGTGTATGAACTATGAGAGCAGCAACTTTTAAACTTTGCAAGCACCAGGAGAAATGGGCTTTTACACGTTCTCGCACATGCATTTTTTTTTTAAAGTGGAGACGCGGGTCTTTTCAAACATTCACAAAAATCCTCCACAATACCTTTAAGTTCTTACTTCAAGCACATCATCTTAATGAATTCACATTATCTGCCCTTTATTTAGAAGTAGCAGCTAAATTCTTACAAGCACCCAAGTGTTAAATAATTGCTTTAAAAGCTATGAATTTAGCTTTTGACCATATGATTATCACATACCGGTAGTTTGCTTTTTTGGGTACATTTTTTAAATATTCTTATGTTCCTTTCTTGTTTTATTTAATGCAACTTTATATATTTTTTCAAGAAGATGTTTAACTAAAGTAGAATAAACTTTCTTGTGCTTTTAAGAGGAAAAAAATACCTGTAACTTAAAACAGCTGCTGTTGTACAGGGAGAAACTAACTGACTCTGAGCTGGAGACTTATCTTGAAGTTTTAATCAGTTACCCAGACTGGCAGTTGCACCGTTGAAGCTGCTATTTGCATATGCAGGCCATAAAACTTCAGTAAGTGGAGTTCAGGTGTGGAAGCAGTGAGGAAAGTGTGAGGGACCCTCATTTACTTCTGTTTTAAATGCACTTTTTTTTATGGATTAGTTCAGAGAAAAGCTATTCCTTTTTATTGTCTAAAGTTTTTGTTTTCATGTTCTTTTCCTATTGTTCCACCATTTAAGTGCTTCTTTCTCTGTATTTTCTTTCATAGATTGAATGTGTTTGCGCCAAGCCTCGACACCATGAGCACAATCTCCCCAACAGATTTTGACAGCTTGGAGATCCAGCAGCAGTACAATGACATCAACAATCGCTGGGACCTGGCGGCAGAGACCGACTGGGACAATGAGAACAGCTCGGCACGTCTCTTCGAACGCTCTCGCATTAAAGCCCTCGCAGGTACGACACATTCATCAGTCTCCCTTTGTTATTAAAGTGCCTCCAATCAGTGATTCAATCAGATCCTATCAGAGTGGGATTGCTTCAGGTCAGGAAAACCCCTTTTTTTTCTAGGACTCACTGTTGATGAATTGGAATTTTGTGTTGATTGGCTGTTTGTTTCTGCTGATTGGATTCCATGGAAGTTAATTCTAGATGCACTGCACAGGCTTTTCTTGACAAACATCAATTTCTTACTCTAAATTTTTTTTTACAGTGCTTTTGGGTTTTTTTTGACAGCTGTGGGTTCTTTAAAATGACGCAGTAGTTTTGCCTCCACTGAAAATGAAGGATTTACAAGATTATCCCTTTTTATACTTTGAACTCTCCATGACCTTCATTTGATTTTATTCCTTTCTGAACAAAATATATTGACCAAAGTTGCAGGTTTTCTAACATATTTAATAGAAATAGGTGTAAATATGTCAGATTTTTTTAGATGATAAAGGGAAATATGTCTGGTTAATACGTACATAAATAGTTGACAATTATTTCAATAATTGATTAATCCTGATTCATTGTTTCAGCCCTAGTTGAGACCAAATCATAAAGCTGATAGTAATGTTCAGAAATCTAATTAGGCTTTTTAGACCAGGGAGCAGATGTGATTCTTTCGTCTCCCAACAGGCACGAGCCTTTCTTTATAGGCCAAGACCAAAATACATCCAAAAGGAGGACAAGGCTGAAGAGCTTAGCAGTTGGTCAGAATAAACCCAGTTTGAGGTTTCTACACTAGAATCAGTGCTTTTATGAATCCATGTTTACATCATAACAAACCTATTCTATCGCTGACCGATTAACAGCCAGTTCTAATTAATTCTTTTTTTGTTACTGTTATTTCCTTGATACCTAAGGAGTTGTGTTAATAGATCTGGGTTGAATCAAGTGAAATATTGAGCCTCAATAGTTTCTCATTTATCCACTTTATATAATTGTTAACTCAATCATCTGATGAGGCCTGATTTTTGTTTGTCTTGCTTTATAAACTGTTTTCAAAAGCCAAATCCAGTTGCACTTCTAAAAAAGCCCAGCAGAGGGGGGCAACACACAGATATATCCAGAAAGTCTGCCATAACCAGATCAAATCTCTATCAGTTCTGATCTTTGAATAACCCTACAGTTGATTATTCATCAACTGTATTATTCAGAAGAGTTGGTTTGTTTTAGATCTAACTAATTTCACTGATGTTCCAACAGTTTGTAGTTATTTACTTTTATTCTGTAGTTTTGGTTTTGAATCAAATGTTCTTCATGTTGCATTGTGCCTAAACATCTGTCTAGTGTTATTTCTTTGCATTTTGCAGCAACACTTTTTGCTTTCCTGTTTGTGATGGTCTTTCTTGAAATGTGTGCCCGAAAGTTCCAGTCTGCAGGCTTGTGATACCCTCTAAGTTTAACAAGTGTGGGCTTGACGTGCACATTCTTTCACATGCTCCTGCAGCTATTCCCTCAAGGCTTGACTCCGGCCCACTTTTAACACCTTTTCCTCAAATGTCAACCAACTCTGCTCTCTTTGACTATTTAGAAGTGCCAGACTTTTCTTCCACTCTCTTTTTTTACAATTTTTACAATGCAAAACATTCACTGAGCTAGCTTATCTGACACATTAACAGGAATTAATATACGTGTGGTGGGGCAATGACCTGTGCTCTTTAGCTCATGGTTTAGAAACACTTTTTCCTATTTTGCATTGATAGCAGCTTATCTGTTCTCTTGTGTGTAGCAGAGCTAGCTCTTAAGCTTTGCATACGTTTGAAGACACGCACCTTCACTTCTGAACGGTTATCCATACAGTGTTTAGCTGCACAGGCTCCCACGCTCGGGAATATAAGGCCTTAAAAGACTCTGGATCACATTAAACAATCCAGTTTTCCTCTGTTTAGGGTTATTCTTAGAAACAATGTGTAATAGTCAGTGGAAGCAGTTGTTTAAAAAAAAAAAACTCTTTATATATTGAATCCTTCTCCAATGAACCCAGTAGTTGATATTTTTAGGTTCTCATAAAAAATTAGCTAGTGTTATTAGAAATCTGCTTTTTTTCCTTTTTACACAGTTCCTACACAATTAGCAATGGTAGAATGTTTTAAATATTTTCCAGATGTGGATAATTCATGAATAGAAATTTGGAAAAAGGCTGCCCGTCAATCTGTCCACTTTTTAGCAGTTTAATCTTTACAGTACGAGCAGTCTATCATAACTTTAGTATTTGTGCTTTTGAAAATGATCTAAATCTCTATAGAAGAAGAATGTATGAATTTATTTTGCTCCGGTTCTGCTAAACTATTGACAACGTCAACAAGCTTGATAGTAAATGGCTGCATTTCTCCCTCTGATAGTGTTTCCTCCCCCGTGTATCTTTATCTGTTCCCCTCTCTCTCCCTGGAGTTCATTTCCAGCCTCTGACAAAGATGAACCCTCATTAATTCCAGCTTTCTTCACTTTCTGATTTTCCACCCTTTTCAGAAACATGCAAAAAAATTCCTTAATTTATGGTTGTAATTATGTGTTTCTATTGTTTTTAATGCTTGAATGCTGATGGAACTCGTTAGAAAGGACATGATGGGCTCATCTGTATGTTATGTTACATTGGATTGTGTTTGATACTTGCCTTTTGGTATACTAAAAATGGTCATTAATGAATACTTTCCTCCCTACATCTGTCTGCCTTATCACCTCCGTTCCTCAGAAGGGAGGCTGTCCTCCCCAGTTCCCATTAGTCCCAGTCACCCTTCATAAAAAACAAAAAAAAACTAACCCTGAAGCATTTTGTCCTTTAATGAGACCCATCCAGCTGCTTCCAGCTCATCAGAACGAACATCTGAAGATGAGAAATTGTGGTCCGATTCAGATCAAAAGGATACAAAAGTCCTTTTTATTTGTTGTCCTAGTGCTCATAGTCCTTAAGATACATTTTTATTTTATTACTGTGCACTTTTAAATAACTTCTTGGCAGCCTGTTACTAAGACAATGGTTCCTTTTATTACTGAAAATAAATGTTTTCTGTCCCACTCTGTCTTTTCCACCCCCTCCACCCCTCTACTCTGCAAACAGATTGTAAACAGTTTCAAATCTCATCAGGCAGGAAAAGTACTCGTTGTATTTCTGAGACTTTCTCAATAACTTCCTTCCTGTTTTAACGCCTCCTCGTGAGGTAGTGCTCATGTATAAAAAGGGGTGATTGAATGTAATCTAGAAAATGGTAGAAATAAAAGATGACCGCTCAAAGATAACATTATAGAATCCAAGTAGGGCTCCCTTTGGGTAGGCCACACCCTGATGGAGGTAGGAACTAAGATGGAGTTAAATAATCCACCTCAAGGCACACTGTACAAAGGACTCTAATGGTTTAGTCCACCTCTACACCTCCTCCCTCCCCTTATCCTTCCACCATGTTCTTCCTTCATGCTCCTCCCTCAAACACACCTTATGCAAATCACACAATTTTCAGACTGCACAGAAGGCTTTGTTTACACAGCCATCCGACCGCGGCCGCTCAGTGTTGGGCTGTGCTCTGCAGGGCTGTGCTTCAGCAAATGCACACTCTGAATTTGGAGGGAAGTCATACCTACGGTTTCTTTGGCAGAACCACCAAGGAGTTCAACTCGAGGCTTTTATTTTGTTCAAAGACCACAAACGTGGTCAATTGAACAAGGAAAAAAAAGAAGATTTTGGTTTTCTGTTCTGTTTCAAATAATTCTGACTTGGAAAAAACTTGTCGTCTTTTTTTTTTTTTTTTTGTCCATGCCACTCACCTCTAAAGTTTTCTCGGACATGTTTGAGTATGCGGTTTTTGGAGAGAGGAATATTTTTCTTGTGCCTTACTAAACACCAAGAAATCTAAAAAAAGACCAAGGAATTTAAAAAAATAGAAGAGTTGGTGGAAAAACTGCTAAAGAAGGTGCTGGATTTTTTTTTTTTCCCTTAAAGATCCGTCTTAGTATGATGGAAAGCTGATTCATTTAGTTTCCGTTGGAGTATTTAAAGAAAGGATCTTAGGAAGCTACAATGGAATGGGAGCACAGGGACAGAGAGCCCTGCTTGTCCCCAGCAGCATTTGTTAACCAGGTACAATACTCCAACATCTTGGAGGGAAGATTTAAACAGCTCCAAGGTAGGAATCCAAACAAATTTTTTTTTATATGGTTGAAAAGGAATGGTTTCATTGGAGATGGTGACCTTTTTATAGATTCACTGGATTAGTAAACAAAACTGGTATGCCTGAGCAAACAGTTTGATTGACGTCACAGTTTAGACTCTTACACCGAGTTGTCTCCACAATTATGATGTTTCAGTGTCAGTACCACGCTCTGTTAGATGTATCCTGTATGTTGGGGCAGGATATATTTGTTGTCCTTCTACTTTAGTTTGATATTAGCTCCTAAATGGCTCAGGATTTTCCAGAGTATTTGACTTCCAAGAACTAGTAGTATATCGCCTTAGGAAAGAAATGAAGATAGTTGTACGAGATGAACAGTAGGCTTTAGCTCAGATCTAAAGCAGGCAGGCAGTCTGGCACCTGATCACTTGGCCACCTGTCCTCTTATCTCATTACAATACCCTCCTCTGTCTTTAGCCAAAGCCTGAGAAAGCTGTGAGGTTTCTACACATAAAAATAACCTAGGACGTTGGTGGTGAGACAGGAAATGATTAGTGCACTGAAAAAACAAACAATAGAACTTTAGCCTAAGATGTAATGACATGTTTTGTGATTTTGGAAGCGACATATTAGAAACCCACATTGTAAAACTGCAGTGTGATTGAAGATTATGTTTTATTTTTTGCTTCTGCATGCTCCCCGGAGTCTGAGAGGTGTGCTCGAGTTTGCTTGAGGGAGCAGCGCTACTCGTTCTGCATTTTTTGAATTCTTGTAGTGGGCATAGTGTATGAAACCCTATAGTGTCTTTATCAATGAGTTGGTCTGTTGAAAGGAGGTATTCTACATCAATGTGTAGATCTATAA